TCGCAGTAGATCTGGCTCCGTTAGAGGGTCTGGTGGTTGCTTGGTCGGCGCTGGTCGGCTCTGGTCGGGTGTGGGCGCCGGCGACGCTGTTCCATTGTAAATCGCAGTAGATCTGGCTCCGTTAGAGGGTCTGAATCCAAAGTCTTGAAACTTGGAGGTTTCATGGAACTTGGGGGTTGGCCAATGCATAGCTGTTCCTTCAGTTAGCTACAAGATGCGCTAGACTCAGCACTGCCTGTGTGTCCACACTCATCCACTCAATTCTCTAGCTGTGGTTGACATAACCGATGTGACATGCGCTAGACTCAGCACTGCCTGTGTGTCCACACTCATCCATTCAATTCTACCTGTTGTGATGTGAGCGCGTGTATGAAATAATAAGTAATCTGTGTGAATGATACAAGGAATTGTTTTGCCTAGGAAGACGAATATAATATTCCCGGCCCCCCGGTAACAGCGCCGCCACCTAACTACATTTGATTGACGTTTCATGTTGACTGGTCGTTATACTTGCAGTTTCTAAATGAAGGTAGTCACAGATGTTTTGAGTCCGTTTGCTTGGAACACATTTTTGGAGGCAACTTTGCCCTCCCTGTTTAGAATGTGAAGCAAGAGTACAAACGAACTTGTTTTTGCTTTTGCTGTGTTTTTTAAACCTGTGGCAAACAGCTTTGGCTCTTTTGCTGCACTTGAGCACCTCCAGCACAGCCGCAGCGCTTTGTCAAATCGGGTGGTTCTGAGTGTCTTCTGAGTGTCTGTTTAGTGGTCATGGGAGCCCGCAAGCGACCCGCTTCCGCTTGCAAGCGTCCTGGAGCTAAGAGGCCAGCCGCCGGGCCAGCCGTGAAGTCACCCAGCGTGATGGAAGAATCAGAGTCAGACTTGGAGACCAGGAGCTGTTGGTTTTTAAAAGCATGCTTTTCCACGTGGTAGAAGTGGGTAGTAGATAATGGTGTTTGCCGTTTCATTTTCTGTTCCCTGTTTGCCGTTTCATTTTCTGACCAGGAATCCGAAGGGAGTGGAACCTGAAGCATCTCCAACCGGTTCTGTTTTTGCAGATTCGGACATGGGCAATGAGACAAGCTCTCATTCCCTCTCGCCGCCCGAGATCGATGATATAGGGGTGGTGTGCGCCTACAAAAGAGTTTGGTTTTAAGCCGGTGTTGTGTTTCTTAATCTGCTGTTTACCGTGGTTTACAGAAGTTTTTCTGTGTGTCTACATCTTTCGGCTTATTATCCATGAGCTGAGGGCAACTAACCCTGCGTTGTATTCCCTCCAGGTCGCAAATTTTGCGCACTATTGGCTGAAGGACCTCCCTGATGTTTGCTTGGAAGTGCAGCGTGCCCTGGGTTCGCACGGCCGCCCCCTCAAAGTTGCTTCCATTTGCACTGGCTGGGGTGTCTGTGACATGTCCATCCACGCGCTCAACGAAGCCCTCAGCATGAAGGCCAGCGATGCCCCACTTGAGGCCGGGAAGTGCTGGGCGAAGATTGGTCGGCAATTCTGTCTCCTCACTGATGCATTTCGCAGCCATTTTTCTCTTTATCGATTGGTGATGAGGAGTTTTAATTTACTAGACATGTGATGAACATTGATGAACTGTCCTCATCAAAACCTTAGTTTTGTTGAATATTGAACGGTCAGCTGCTGAATATTCACCATGTCGGGTCGTGATGAAAGCGCCGCGTGCCCCAAAGGGGTCCAAAGGCCTGGACTTGAAGGCGCTGCTACGCAAGCCATGTAGGTGCCTTGCCAGAGTGTGCTTTCAGCAGTTTGCTTCGCTTGAAGAAAGCGTTGTTGGGGCAAGAGCCGAATTTCAGCAGTTGACACGTGAGAAGAAAGACGATTGGCTTAAACAGTATTTCATTTGAAGTTATATCGCTGAGAAAATATAAGATGTTTTTTTAACCATAACTTGTGATTTATGTATATTTCTTGTTCCTTTTCCACTGCACTGAAAGGAGAGCTTTCTTGCAGCTACTTTCAACACCTTGCCCAGAGATCAAGCTGGTGTTTCATTCGCCAAGTTCGATGAGGTTGCGATTGATGGAGGGGTCCTGTATTCCTCAGAAGATGAAATCTTTCCTTCGTCCGCTGAGGAAACTGTTGCAGCAGATGTAGTAGATGAAACTGGATCCGAGATCTTCTTTTCTTCTGATGCGGAGGGGGAGGAACATGTGCGAAAGCGAGCTCGATACAACAGCAGAAATACAGCAAGGGTGTCATTTTTGGGTCGGCCGGTCTGCCGGCGTGCTTTGGAACGCCTGCTTCAAGTGGGTGGATCATCATTGGAGAGGCTGCGGAAAGGCGAAGCGTGTTTCACCAACAAAGATCGCCTTCCGCTAGCCAAACACCCCACCTTCCATTTCACGCTGCGCGGTGAAGTTGCAGCTTTGTGGGAGGATATAGTCATGTTTTTGTGGCATATGTATCAGACCGCTTCAGAAACACTGCCGACACATTGGAAGAGTTTGCGAGAAACTCCTTTTGAGGATGATGGCTTGGATCCACAGGATGAGAGAGACAGACTTGTCAACTCCATTGCTCAGACCCTGAGCACGACCTCCAGTGATATTAACCATGTGCTGGTTGGTCCGGGCACATTTGCTGGATCCCGGCGATGTGTCATGCACTGCACGAGGGCGGACCTCTACTGGGAGTATTCGGCCTACGCCGAAGCGCGTGGATTGCGGGTTGCGTCTCAGTCTACATTTTACCGTGTGGCTAATGGTTGCATAAAGCCCGGGCTTCGAAATGGCCACCTTCGATTCAGAAAACCTTCAGAACACGCTACTTGTGATGATTGTTTCAGGCTCAGAGAAGCTGTCCGGCAAACAAAAGATCCCGCTGCGAAGATTGAAGCTCAGAAGGCTTTCCACCGCCACCAGCTCCAGCAATGGCTGGATCGACAGGTGTATTGGTCGTTCAGATCAATGAGCCAGACATGGTTTCAGAACATGATGGAAGAGAATGCCAGGCGGGATGTATGGCCTTGAAAGATTGACATTGAGTTTGTCCCCCAGATTCGAGGTTGTGAATGGTTTCATTCCACCAAATTCGAGGTTGTGAATGCTTTCATTTTGCATTGCTTGATCAGGCTGGCGGCTCCTTCCAACGTTGCCATGAATGTCCTGTGCATCATTCAAGACGGCGTCGACCAATCAAAGTTTCGATGCCCTCGGGTGAAGCCGACTCAGCGACAAACAAAACTCTTTCAAAAGCTCTTCAGGCCACAGTTGCACGTCGCTGCATGCTGGTCTCACGGCTTTTCTGTCGACGTGAGCGTGGCAGACGAGGATCTCCCCAAGAATTCTGAAACGCAGTTAGAGCAGCTAGTGCGTGCCTTCGACCACGTGCTGGCCGAAGTCGGCTCCTTGCCGCCGGGGGTCAACATTCAGACCGACAACACATACAGGGAGGGCAAGAATCAATGGACCCTGTCATTTGGAGCGTTGACAGTTGCGTTGGGCGTATGGCGCCACTACACCGCCTCCTACCTGAGGGTAGGACACAGTGACTTTTATTCATACAGGAACCCATTTCCTTTTTCTCGGGTCAAGTGTTGTCACCCTTGCATACCCTTGCCATCGTCGTGCCTCGTCATGCCCTTAGGCCACGAGGACATTGACCAATACTTCTCTCAGATTGCATCTCTACTTGCTCGCGCTGAGTTTTCCGACCCGAGAGAAGTTGTGGATTTGCTCGACGCTAGCTACAGGCCAGATTCCCTGGCAGACTTGCAGCGGAAACAAGCGAAGCAAAGCAAAGTCTGGACCCATGCCTACAAGCTGGACACTGTTGCTCGCTGGAAGGATTGGACCGAAGTTTTGGGACTGCGACTTCTTGGGCTGAGACACTTGATTTGAAATAATCTTTGATGTGTGTCATGAAAGTTTTTTTTTTTTTTGTTTTGTTCACGTGCAGATGGTTTTCCCGAGTCTTGGAGAATCTTGTTTATTGGGCCCTTTGCTTGCAATCTGAGGACGTGTCGGTCAGGTCCGATTTTGTCTCAGAAAAGATTGTGGAGCCAGCTCCTACGGCAGCTGCCAGCCCGAGGAGGTGCGGGGTTTTGCACCTCACGGCTCCGACGTGATGGCATTTTGTAAGCGCCGGATGGCAGACCCTGAGCCTGTCCGTGTGCTATGTGCAGTTCCTGCCGCGGTTTCTTACTCTTTGCGAAGTTGTTTCCAGCAGCCACAAGGGGATGCCGTTCGACGCCCGCTTGGCGAGAAGGTGAAGCAGAACATTCCTGCCAAGGCTCGCGCGTGCTTCCGTCAGAAGTTTATCACTGAAGATGCTTTGGCGTATCTTCTTGGCTGGGTTGATGGCCACTTACCCCGAGATCCTCGGCCCAGGTCGTACCCGGTGCTGGCCCTTCGCCGGTTTGAGCTGGACCTGCGCGCAGATGATGTGCCCCGTGCTCCGGGGCGATGGGAGAAGCCTGCGCGGTTTCGAGTGCGCCGCATTTTGCGGCCAAATCCGGGCGAAGCTTCGGATTCAGATTGCGACGATGCGGCAGTTCCTGTTGAGGATGAATAGTTGATTCCTTTTCACCTTCATTTGTGCAGAGCAGAAAGCTTGTCGTTCTGGTTTCGGGACTTGCTGATTTTAGATTCCGGGGGCCAGATTGTTTTCTGTTTTAAATTTACTATGGAAGCACCTGATCCCTCCCCTCATTATGGATACCGTTGGGATTTTCCCCCCTGGCCAGATGGAGATTGCTTTGATGTGCGAGATCGTACCGTGGAAGGCCGCGTATTTGGAGAAGGCCTTTGACAAAGTCCCCCTCTTCCGCGACATGAAAGAGCTTGGCGGCGGCAAGGCCTATGAGGTGCGAAGCAAATGTCCGCAAAAGGTACCCAAGGCCAGGTGTTGACAACAATATCTCTGCTGTTTTTGTTTATGTTGGTTTCTTTTTTGGTCCGTCCAAACCAAAAACTTTTGTTGGAAACTGTTCATTTGTTTTTTTGAATGAGTGTGGCCACTTGCAGGTGGACCTTGCGATAGCCGGGTACCCCTGCAAAAGCGTTTCATCTCAGAACAACTTCAGACGTGCCTTCACGGACCCTAGTTCGAGCACCGGAGGCGGCTTTTGCGCACTCATGAACTATGTCAGCTACAGCTCACCGAGCATTGTAATCTGCGAGAACGTCAGCGGATTAGCGTTCCAACGCAAATCCTTTCAGGAGTGCCCGATTAGCATTCAGAATTCCGCTATGGCCAAGAAGGGCTATCGGCATTGGCACACTGTCGTCAGCAGCAAAGACTATGGATTGTGTCACTCCCGGAGTCGTTGCTGGGCCATTTACATCAAAGAGAGCGAGTCTGACCTTGAGACGCAACCTGCAAGCAAATGGGAACTGTTCCTTTTTGTGACAGACTTTTGTTTTGGGAACGCTTTTGTTTTGGGACAAGGACAGACTTTTGCACCGTCCTGGACTGTCCCCCTGGCCCTGTCCTTCCAGGTCCCCTCACGACTACTTGCCTCGCTTCCGGTGCCAGCCTTTGCCCTTAGCGGCCTACTTGCAGCCCGAGGGAAAGAATGATGAATCCGTGCCCATCAAGAAGCGGGCTGGGCATGGTTGCAAATGGAAGGACGGCTTTAAGGAGGCATGTGATTCTTTGGGCAAAGCTATTCAGCTGAGTTCAACATTTTGTGGTTGATGGTGGTGGTATGTGGTGGTGGACGTTGGGGGGGGGAACCCCCACCAATAAAGGTTTATGCTGCCTAGGTTGCGGTCCAGAAATCCTTGAAGTTCGTGCAGAACCGGTCAATGCCTCTGACTGACAGAGAGGAGGCTATTCTTGCCGTTGCTTTGACCGAGCTGGAGCAGAAAGGTTTTGATCCTTTCAACAATTCCAACCGCTACGTGATACAAGTGGACGCTTGAGGTACCAATTGCTAAGCTTTTCGTTTTTGCTTTGTGTTTCCTGATAGCCCTCAATTGTTTGGATAATATGTATCACCTTCGCCCCGTCTCAGGACCAGAACTTTCACCGTGCGACATGGATGCGGTCTGGCCCGCATCTGTCGCCCTGCTTGCTCCCCAGCGGAAAGTACATCATCACTGGCCGATGGTCTTGCTTGACGTCCCAGGAGCCTTCTGTTCTGCCATTCATTTTTGGTTTGCTACGTGTTGCCACGCGGTTTTACTGGTTGATTCGTTGTTTGGCCATTAGGTTCAAAGGAAAAGGGTTTGGCGCTGATAAAGCTCACAGGAGAAGATGAAATTGCAGGGTGTTGGAGTTGCGGAGTACGAGAAGTATGGGATGCGGGATTTGTCTCCTTCGCAGTTGGCTGACTTTGCGGGAAACTCGTTACTTGGCACGTCCATAATATTCTTAGCCCGGCAAGTCATTTTTACTGGTTGATTGACAGGTCTTGGGATTTTGATTCAATTTTACTGGTCGACTGATCTTGGGATTTTGATGTTTGTCAATGCCCCCCTTCAATTGTGTTGCCTAGGTTTTCCGCTCCGGTTTGCCTCGCTGCGATCTTGAGCGCTTTGGCCTGTTGGAAACCGCAGCAACTTCAGGATGGTTTGGCGCCGCAGTGAAGCTTTTTGTGACTCTGACGTGGGACTCTTGTTGATCTGACAACAAACTTCAGGTCCCATAGATGTGAAATTCGCAGCCTTGCCCGTTTCTTGAGTTTTGGTTTGGAAGGAGGGTGGCTGATCATGCCTGACTGTGCTCCCATTTCACCGGGGGCCACACATGGGCTACCCCTACAAAGTATCGCTTGCCAGCTGGGGTTCACGGTAGGCTCAAAAATGTATTGAGTTTGTTGCGAAACGCTTTGCTCGAGAGCCGTGCCATGTGGATGTCCATGTTATTTTTTGAGTTTGTCGTGAAAACGCTTTGCTCGAGAGCCGCGTGTTGTGGATCTCCATGCTTGTGTTTGAGAGTTCTTTTTGGGCCTCAAGCCACTTGTTGACTGGGCGCGATGCCGCCCCGCAAGAAGCAGAAGACCGGCAGGTCAGGCGCCGATGCTCTGTCAGTTGGGCCAGCGGCCACTGTTGTCCCGAGCCGCCTGGATGATGTACCCCAGGTCATGAAGCAGGCGCTGCTCATCCTCGATGCTATCCATGAGTTGCGCCATTGTGACGAGAAGACGGTGCATTTAGAGAAGTGCTCTGTTCTTGAACCTATGCATGGGGTCTTTGCCTGGCCGATTTCGTGGGGGGGCACTTTCAAGGACATCGCCCAGAGAGCTTGGAGTGATCCCGACCAACTTCTGGAGATGAGCGCCTCTCTGTGCCACAGAGCCGGTTTCATGGATTCGCCTGACCCCTCAGAGTTCCTGCAGCAGTTTTGCAAGATGGATGTACCTGGGAGTGTCCAACAACTGTAGTTTTCTTGTGTTGCCCCTGGTTACCGAGTTGTGTATTTTGGGTTGGGTAGCTGAGTGCATCCTTTTCCGTCCTCACAAAACATGCGTCTCTTGTCAGGCGTGGCCACCAGAAAAGGGTGAGTTCTTCATGACCTCCGTGCTGTCATTCTCTTTCAGCGATGCCGCTTTCTGGCGGGGGAAGGCAGTGGCCATGAGTGAAGTGGTCACTTTTGCTAGATCCATTGTCGCCTCGCGTTTTCGTGAGGCCGGGTAAGGGGTGTGTTCGGCGAGAAACATGTTTCGGCGAGACAAAGATTTCGGCGAGAAACCATTTCGGCGAGCCGTCCAGCGGGTAGCTCTCCCAAATCTAGCGGGTCTAAACCCTTTTCGGTGTGGTTTGCCCAAAAATTTATCTGCGGCAGCGTAGTTTACTCCCTAGACTTCTGCGAATTGATGGATTGCTAGACTTTGAGATTGGTTTTGATCATTCTTGATCTGCTGCAACTGCTTGGGCAATTGCCTGCCACTTGTTCTTAGTCAGTCTTACCTCGGAAGCATTTTGCCTTGGCCATGCTGCCAACTACTCCACCAAGGCTTTCGGCTACCAACCCCGCGGGTAGCTAGCCGAAGGGTAGGTTGCAGGGTGGGAGCCGGGTTTCCGCAAAACTTGTTGGATGCACGCCGGAAAAGCTTAATCAATGTGTTACACAAAGGGTCGGCTACCGTCCCCAAGGGTTGGTATCCCAAACAGAGGCTTTGGTGGCCCATCGGTTTCGGCTAGGGGATTGGTTCCCTACTATACTTCATGATGTCCCATATCCTTCAGCTGCGTGTGTTTCTAACTTAACTTTCATTGTGTTTGAATGTTTTTGACTTACGGTTTGCCCGTTTGTTCCTTAACATTCTATTTCTCCATTGAAAGCAATTTGTTGGGCACGACTTGCCAGGGAGAGACTGTGGCTATCAAGCTCCCTTGCAGTCCTTTGAGACCTGTCAATCTAGCTGTTGGGTGCCTGTACTTTAGCGACGGGTCGCAGAAGACCCTGGGGGCATTCATGGTGTGGCTTTCTTTGATTTTGGCTACACGCTTGCCAGACTTTGACAACAGCGACCTGGAGCACCCCGCGTTCTTGGCCTTGATGAGCTCACTTTTGAGAATCCGCACCGTCCAGAAAGCCACCACCGGGTCTGGCGATGATGTTGACAGCACGCTCGCCCGGATCATCAAACAGAACATGGACGCCAAGGTTCAGGCGGTTTCGTCTTTAACATGGACAAGCATTCTGGCTAGCCTGGGCGATGGTGTGAGCCTTGACACCCTGATCTCCCGGTACAACAGCCATCCAGAGGTGAAGGCATTCGATGACCAGCAAACAACGGCATCCATATCACTCGATGGCCGAAAGCGGCAGGTCGGGGGCAATCTTCCTTAATAACATCAGGTTTTTTGTCCACTGTTCGACCATCAACGACCATCAAATGGTTTCCTTCCAGTTTGTCATTGTATTTCCGAAACCCTGAAGGCCGTTAAGAATTTTTTGGAAAAAACGAGTCCTGGTGCATTCAACATCCTATTGAAGAGCACCCACGACATTTGTTGGGCGCATGGAGCGTTTGGCGAATCGTTTGGCACATACACGCATTGCTTCCTTGGGAGTTGTGCCAACTTTGAGGCCGCACCGCCGCATGAAGATGCCATGAGTGGGCCGCTGCCAAACGAGCCCTCAATTACTTTGAATTGGGCTCTTCCCCTGACAGAGTCAGCCCAAGAGCTTCTGTTTTCTCGGATTCAGCTGACTTTCGACAGAAACACTTCCATGATGCCCGTGACACAACGGAAAAAATACCGGCTGTCTGGGGATGACCTCCTGCGTGTGCGCAATTTGGTGTGCCTGTTCGACCAGATCCTCCCGCACATCAAAGCTCGTGTTGGTCTTGATTCCGCAGCTCAGTGGCTGGAAGACGTGCGCTCAGGCGCACAGCGAGACAATGATCTCACTTCCCTTCTACATCTGAGGCCATCGGTGTTTTCCATGAGCATGTTGCCCTCGGAGCAAGAGCAGGCGAAGCGCTCTCTGGAGGAAGTCGAATTGAAGAAGTGTGAGGACAAGGAAGCTCAAAGGTTGGAGGTCACAGCAGCCCAATGGAACTTCTTCAAAGGGGCGCTGGCCCGAGACCAGTCAAAGCTGGATGTTGTTCAGCAAGCGCCCCGGTTGGTGCGGCAGCGGCTGCATGCAAAGCAGGTGGCGGCCAGATCGCGCCTGATCTCTGATGGCGAATCGGCCTGCAAAGGATACCAGGACACGGTTCCGGGTCAGTTTGTTCCGGGTCAGTTTGTCCACGTATGAATGTCTTTATCCTTTTTTGAGAATTTTGTTTGATAATATTGTTTTTGTTGTCCTCATAGTGAGTTTGTATGGTAATGTGCCCATGCCGCTCTTTCAACCCCGATTGAGGAGACCTATTTGCGAGTGGTGCCACTGGACAAGATGGATTTGCTTGGGAGCGAGATCAGCAAGTTCAAGAGTCAGATTGTTTTTAAGCTTGGTTCAGCAATGTGGTTTATTGATGTTTGGCTTCGTTTTTGACCGGTAGGTAGGTTGGGAATGAAGTTGAAGGCTTTTGGCCGGGAACATGAGTTTTCTTGCTTTGCATGACCTTCAAACCAGGCTGAAGAGATGCAGATTGGGACCGACTCGATCTTTTGCTTGGGACTGTGTGACTACAATGCTCCCGGTGCACGACAGAGCTCAAAGGCAGAGTCCTTGGCCCAGGGAATGGCCCAGGTGAATGCTGCGGGACCTTTGAACAACAATGCCGTTGTGTGCCTTCTCCCTGACCACCCCAAGGACAGTTGCATCCGCGGACTCTACGACGAGGAGAAGGTTATCCTGGAAGCCCTATTCAGTCACCGCCAGTCTGTAGAGACTCGATTCATCGACTTGTTTACCCGAGAGAAGAAGTCTGAAAACAAGTCGAACATGCGGCGCTTTGCCGCGAGTCGCGTCGTGGTCCACAGCGACAGCTTAGACGGGAACTCCTGGCTAGCTTCCGAGTTGGCGGTCTGTGGAAGACCGGTGGGGCGTGCTGAGCAGGAAATGGGTGCTCCGACGTCCATATTGCCAAAGTCCTCGGCCCTGCTCTTGCCTGAAGCCGGTTCGCCGGACTTGGACCTAAAGCTGTCTGAACGGGTGCGCCCCTCGCAGGAGCAAACATCGGCGCAAAAGGGGACAGGGCGGCTTGAAATGCTGCTGGAGAGCGCTTTCCGCCACGCGCGGATCAGTGGGCCCACCCTCGTGATCAACCTGACGGGCTACGTCGAAGAGGCCGCTGCTGCAGTAACTCTCATTGAGTTATCAGAACTTGTGTGTGTAATCTTTCATTGATTCCGATTGATTCCCTCAAACCATAGTTTTGAAAGGTGGCCTAAAATAGTTTTTTTTCACGCAACCAAAACACAAAAAAGGCCACCTTCCAAAAGGGCATGCACACCACACTTAATGATACACATGCCATCTAAACTTTCCCAGAAAAGGGTTTCCCTGGTTCGATTTGTTTAGTAGTACAAGAGTTTCCCTTTCATGTTGGATCTGTGTTTCGGTGGTCATTCTGAGCTCTCGAAGCCCGAGGGGTCCCGAACAAGAGGTTTCTCTTTGCACATCTTTGATAGCAAGATTCTCCTCCTCCCTGCTTTCCCTTTGCATCGAGTGTGGTTATTTTTCAATGCGCAATTAGGTATTGAATATGGGAGACGGATTTTTTGAGCCAGGTTGTGAGCCTGTCAGTCCGGCTTAACCTTTATGGGGATATGGGTCAAGCTGTTGCTGTTCGGGCTTTGCTCCAGGTCTTGCTCAGCTTACAGCTAAGGTGTTGAACTTGCGGCTGAAGGGCCCCTTGACTGGAGAAGGTGGCGGCTATGACTTCTCCAACCTCTACTACTTGTCAGCCCACACCCTGGAAAGCAAATCCGGCATTGCGTATGCAAAGCAGCGAGTGTATAGGGAGCTCCTGGACGCCTGGTTGAGCAAGCGCTTGGCTTTCCAAGGGAAGAAGTACGACGACTCAGCCATCAGCCTAAATGACAAGGACTGGTCGTTTTAAGTGCGTTTGTCAGGTTATGGGGACTTATAAAATTCCATAAGGCAAAGAAGACATGACAAGAATATTTTAAGATATTTTAAGAGCATACATTCTCATGATTGCTGCTTTCTGTATTGGAAGGAGCTTGCAGACATCCCGCACTCGGAGTGCATCAAGTCCGCAGACAACTTGGAGTTGGAAGTTTTGGTTCGGCAAGGCTTGAAGATGGCCATACATCCTGACCAAGTCAAGCAATGGACCAACTCTGGCTCAGGTCTCGAGAGCGAATTTCGAAAGCTGGAGGCTGCGCACATCGAGAAATACCAGGATTGCCTGGCCGGCATCATCAAGGACCAAGGCCAGGGTACGCCCAGTGTAGCTGGAGGCTCGACTGCGAGTGCGGGCGCTGCCGGAACCATGGTGGCCGCAAACGATGACAAGAATGAAGATGACCCGACGGACACTGCGCCGGCCCCGATTGCCCAGACTGATGGTGATAGCTTTGAATCCTTGGAGAAGCTTCGCGAGTCCGACCCTGTCGAGATCAAAGTTCTGTCTGAGATAGCAGGGGTGGAACTGATCAAGACCAAAAGTGGCAAGATCTGGCTTTATTGCGAGAAGGATCGGATCCTGCAGCGCCACCTTCAAGTTGGCGGGTACGGCACGGGAAAGAAATTCGCTTTAAATTATTTTTGTAGGTTTTGTCCCATCCTATTCCTGTTGCGCTTCCAGGTTCCAGGTTTTTAGCTTTTGGAAGTTCTTCTTTCTTGTTGAGTTCCGAGTGGTTTCTATGATGTGTTTGGGCATTGAGGTATGTTCCTTGCAGTGAAGCTGGGGACGGTGTTGCCATGGAATGGGCAGAGCGGGACAAGACGCTCATCCAGGTGGATATGAGCAGCGTGACGCCTGACACCGCCCAGATTCAGGTGATGTCGTTGTACCGCTTCCTGGTTCTTTTGGAACGCAGCAAGAAACTATCGCAATACAAACCGAGCTACACTGAATGTGTTCGGAAGTCTGGCAGCTCTGGTGGTTCAGACGGCTTTGAAGTTTCCCTGAAAGATCCTCACAAGTACAAATCCCTGGCTTCCGCAGAGAAAGCCGCAACGGCGAAGAGCTTCTTTGGTGCCAACATGGCCGAGGTCGAGAAGTCCACCTTCCTGGCCAAGATTTTCCGGTGGCGATTCGAACGAGTACACGCGGTGTGCAAAGTGCAGAAACCATACGTGATCCTGAAGTCAGCCCTTCAGTTGAGGGCTGGTCAGCCCTTTTTGGTTGCCTAGTAGAGATTTAGAGGAACCTGGTCAGCAGGCTAAAACAAGGCAAAGGTATGTATGCTTGTCATTGTTTGTAAGAGACCTTTTCCGGCAACCTTGTTGGGTTTTGGCCCGCTGCTCGAGAGGTGTTGTGTGGATGGGGGAGTCAACGGTGTTATATTGTATGGTTGAAGCGTCAGCGGATTGTTTGGTAATGATTTTCTTTTGCTTTTTCCGCCGGAACGAGCAGTGGGCGCGTAGGAAAGAATGCTTTGGAGCTGGCAGGTGGCTGCTGAGAAGTTAGTTAGTTTGCATTAGGTTTAGTCTGCTCTGGCTTTGCAGACTGGCCCTGTTGAATTGGGGATTTCGTTAGCATTTTGAGCCGCTCCACTTGAAAGTCGCATTCGCCACTGGCAGTGTGCACAGAGATGCTGATCTCACATGGCCCTGTGAAACATGTTGTGGTGCGCCCTTGTGCTGGCTCATCTTTTGATATGCGCATTGGATAGAGTTTAATGTAATGGCCTAGCTATAGAGCTTAATGTCATGGCCTAGCTGCTGCAAGAAGCTTTGATTGGTTGGCCCCAGATCAATTCTATCTTCGCTTTGCCTTTATCCGCAGGGCCCTTTTCGAAAGTATAGCATCCCTCTAGCTTGTCATGGCCGCCGGCGGGCACTTGTCCTGGTTGCAGAAGCACAAGCGAATGATGTGGAGAAGGAAGAGGAGAGTGGGCAGGGGGCTGCAGCTGCAACCTTGTTTGTGGGATCTTGTCCGAGTTCCTCGAAGTCGGCTTCGCCGCATGAAGCGTCATTTGGATGAAGGAGATTTGAGCCCTACTGCATCCTTGCCTGGAAGCCCTTGGTCTGATTCTGAGCTTCAGGAGTTGGACCGTGAGCAGGATGATTTGCTTGAGAAGCTGGGCCGCCCTCCTGTGATCAAAGGGCCGCGGCCATGGGATACTCCCATGATCGCATAGGGTTTGAAGGTTGAAGCTGGGACCACAAGTGCCAGAGCGACAATTCTCTTCTTGCTTGTGATGGGGTGAAAAATGGACTCCTCGGGCCCGTCAACGTTTCAAATTTGTTTGGAAGAAATACATTGCAAGGGATCAAATGTGATGTGTTTTTTTTGCAGTGCTGGTGTTTGTGTGCGCGCATTGCAGCTGCAGTTTGAAAGCTTCTAAAATATAGCGACGTTTTCTGACCTTTTGACATCTAGAAAGCACATTGTGCAAGAGCTCGTGCGTGATAGTTTCGGTACATATTGGCTGTGCATTTTGCATCCGCACTTGTTCAATCACATTGAGTATTTTCGAGCAAACAGCGTATAGATTCTTGGCTTGGAACTTCCCGAGCACATGGGTTCAAATCATTGTGGAAAGAGCGACCGTCTAAAATGGTGGTCTCAGAGAGAGAGTCCCTTCGAAATTCCATTTTGGCGCGGGTTGGCATGTCGCACGGTATGGCTTGTTTCGCAGATGATGAAATTTTTGAAGATTCCCCTTCGCATCAAGCTAGATGCGAAGCAGATTCCAGCCGGCAGCGGGTCCCTTTAGAAGATCCTGTCCCTGTGGCTCCTGGTACTTCTGAACATACCCCGCCGCCCACCAGAGCTTCGCCCAAGAGTGGTGGCAATGACTCGCAGGTTTTTCAAGAATCAGATGCTGAAGAAAGACTTCCACAACCTCTTTCCGAGCCAGCTGTTCCGAAGCGACCGAGTGCTTTAAAGAAGCAGAATCCGAAGCCGCAGAAGCGGCCTGCTGCAGCTGGTCCTCCTGAGGTTGAACCAGAGACGGCTGAGCCAGCCCCCAAGCAGAAGGTGCTCAAGCGTCCCGCGGCCAACGCTGCCCCAGTTGTTGAGTCTCGTGCAGATGAAAGTGGGCAACAGTTGTGCCCCGCGGCCGCTTACTCCTACAAGGACGAATCTGGCAATTGGGAGGTTGGGGATTGGGGAAAAAAAAGATCATTGTAACAATTTTGGCAAATGGTTTTGGTCCATGTGATTCATGCGTGACCGCGTGTGTGTCCAGTGTAAACTACATCTATGATACATGCCAACTCAAAAAAATGAAGAAATCTTTGCCCCGAGGTTTTTGTCCATACGCGAGCATCGGGTGAGCAAAAGGGAGACAAGTGGAGGATCATTGTGCATTTGCCAAGCCAGACTACCTATAAGTCTTGGCGAACAGCCATGAAGGATGGTTTTGATCGGTCGAAGGCCAGAGACCCTCATGCATAGTGATGTGCGTGATTGTGAAGCGGCGCAAGTTGTTCAAACCTTGCGCGTTCTTTTCTTTCAAAGTTTTGCATTTGGACCACGCGGTCCTGCTGCTGGATGCGCTGGAAGAAAAAACAAGGAGTGCCATTATCCATTTCAATTGTGGCACTCAGAAACACACTCAGCACACTTGGACGAACCTCCGACCCCGACGTCGCACTTCTCGAACACTGGATTGAGCTTTGCCACATTTTTCTAGAATCTAATCCCTATAGGTTTTCCTTTCCTTGAGGCTTCGTTTGTGTTTTTTGTGTTTGTTCGAGGTTCAAACAAGCCCAACCCCTAAGTAGCATAAGTAGGGTTCATGCTTTGTTCTGACCCGACTCGGTGTTGTGTATGAGCGAGTGTTAGATATTCACACGTTAACAAATATATGCGCCGATGGGACTTCCAATTAGCTAGAGCCTGGATCCTATATCCCCTCAAGTTTAGTAACATGTATACAGTATCCGGGTATATGAAAAGAAAAAAGATATATAGCTAGGAGCAGTTGTTGATACTAGCCGGTTGTCACCACGCACGTTTAAGTTCCCGGTGGCTATTTCGGCATCGCAGGGAGTCTCCCGACTCTTTGTGTCCTTCTTTTTCAGCACAGGGCTAGCGGCTCATTTCCCCACACTAACCACCGAAGCTAGAGAAATGAGTGAGTGAGTCCGTGGACGCGCAAGGCGGTGCTGAGTCTAGCGCATGTCACATTGGTTATGTCAACCACAGCTAGAGAATTGAGTGGATGAGTGTGGATACACAGGCAGTGCTGAGTCTAGCGCATGTCACTGAGTTATGTCAACCACAGCTAGAGAATTGAGTGGATGAGTGTGGACACACAGGCAGTGCTGAGTCTAGCTGACTGAAGGAACAGCTACGCATTGGCCAACCCCCAAGTTCCATGAAACCTCCAAGTTTCAAGACTTTGGATTTCTGGTGGTTGCTTGGTCGGCGCTGGTCGGCTCTGGGCGCCGGCGACGCTGTTCCATTGTAAATCGCAGTAGATCTGGCTCCGTTAGAGGGTCTGGTGGTTGCTTGGTCGCGACGCTGTTCCATTGTAAATCGCAGTAGATCTGGCTCCGGTAGAGGGTCTGGTGGTGGCTTGGTCGGCGCTGGTCGGCTCTGGTCGGGTGTGGGCGCCGGCGACGCTGTCCCATTGTAAATCGCAGTAGATCTGGCTCCGTTAGAGGGTCTGGTGGTTGCTTGGTCAGCGCTGGTCGGCTCTGGTCGGGTGTGGGCGCCGGCGACGCTGTTCCATTGTAAATCCGGGCGCCGGCCAGGAAGCCCGTGGCATGCCCGGAGGGCCTTCGGAAGTAACCGAAGGTTATAGACGCTGGCCCTGGCTGCCGCCGACCCTCGTCATCAAAACGGGGGGACCACCGGTTCACGGAAGCCCCTGTAATTTACAGTGTATCGTGTGTGTGAGGTATAAAAACACTGTGTTTTACAGGGTTTATTGCGCATATCGAAGTACGACGCGGCGAAGATGGAAAAATGCAAAAACGCTGTGTTTTTCAAGGGTGGTGTCGGTAATGCGCGCCGGGCGGACAGCCATAATCGACATTTGGTGGGTAGAGGCCTTCCAGACGATTTCAATTGCCTAACATATCCTCAACATAGGCCTAAGATAGCCAACATATCCCCAACATATGCCCAACATAGCCTCAAGATGGCTCAACATAGGGCCAACATAGGCCAACATGGAGCCAACATAGGCCCAACATAGGCCCAACCTAGGCCAACATAGGCCAACATAGGCCTAACGTCGGCCCAACATAGGCTCAACATGTGCCCAACATAGAGCACATGGGCCCAACTTGGCCCAACCTAGGGACAAGATGCGCACCAGATAGCTTAACTTGCGCCCCAGACCCCCACCCCCGTCTCCAACGCCGAGCAGTTTCCCACCTTGCCCCCACCCAGGGCCCTGTACGCCCCCGATAGCTGCACGTGCACCCGACCCAGCCCTACACAGACCCTAGTGCGCCGGCGCCCGGCTGTCAGGCGTAAGCCTTTAAATCGCAGTAGATCTGGCTCCGTTAGAGGGTCTGGTGGTTGCTTGGTCGGCGCTGGTCGGCTCTGGTCGGGTGTGGGCGCCGGCGACGCTGTTCCATTGTAAATCGCAGTAGATCTCCGTTAGAGGGATTTAGAGGGTCTGGTGGTGGCTTGGTCGGCGCTGGTCGGGTGTGGGCGCCGGCGACGCTGTCCCATTGTAAATCGCAGTAGATCTGGCTCCGTTAGAGGGTCTGGTGGTTGCTTGGTCGGCGCTGGTCGGCTCTGGGCGCCGGCGACGCTGTCCCATTGTAAATCGCAGTAGATCTGGCTCCGTTAGAGGGTCTGGTGGTTGCTTGGTCGGCGCTGGTCGGCTCTGGTCGGCTGTGGTCGGGTGTGGGCGCCGGCGACGCTGTTCCATTGTAAATCGCGGTAGATCTGGCTCCGTTAGAGGGTCTGGTGGTGGCTTGGTCGGCGCTGGTCGGCTCTGGTCGGGTGTGGGCGCCGGCGACGCTGTCCCATTGTAAATCGCAGTAGATCTGGCTCCGTGTGTACGTAGTACAACTTTAGTACGCGGAGTAGCTGTGGAGCTGGAAGCTGAG